CCCCAAAACCCCAAAACCCCAAAACCCCAAAACCCCAAAACCCCAAAACCCCTTCACATCTGTCTAATTGAATAATAAATAATAGAAATGGTCGCTCTTTTCTCCAGATGCAGTCATGAAGGTGGTGGTGGTCGAGGTGATAATATGGTAGGCGAATGAATCGTATTTAAGATCCTAGGAAGTATTAGTATCATAAACTTCCTTGTAGTCATCCTCGCTTTATATTCATTATGGAGACTAAGTAGGACTCATGATGTATCAAAATTCAGGTTCATTTCCTTATCAATAGTACTCTTTCAGATGGTATTATGAATAACTTATTGGACAATAATAGTAGGAATTAAGGACCCACTAGTGCCAATAATATTTCAGATGGCACAAGAGATTGTGAAATACATAGGGTTCTACTATTGAGTTTACTTCTTCACATCTCAAGCAGTGGAAATTCTGTCAAACAAAGACAATGACTTTATATATTACACAAAACTTGGGCTTATCTCTACAAGTGGAATTCAGATAGTTCATTGAATAGTTACGATTGTTTTAATAAACATCAGGAATGATGCAAAGGTCAACTTCTGTAGAAACAACTTATGGGTCATGATGAGATTCCTCGGCCTTGCAGTCACTTTCGGCTTTATTTTCATAGGGTGGAGGATCCAAAAGAGTATCCTAAATCCTCTTTTGAACAAGCAAAGGAAGCAAAATGAAATTATTGAAGATAAGATCAAATATACCTCAAGTAATATGAATAAAGATTTCAGAGAGAGATTAGCCGATAACTCTTCTCAATTAGGCGATTCAGACTCTAATAATGCAAGCCGTATTTCCTACATTGAAGACTACAAAGATAGATTTGGATCTGAGACAGCTGAAAATATTCAGGCCAAAATTAAAGGAAAGAAGAAACAACTAAGAGTCATGTGGACGATCTTGATAGTTATTCTTGTAATCTGCTTCTTTGAAATGATCCTTAGTGCAACTCAACGGATCAAAGACCATCAATGAAGAGTCTTATTTGGTAATAAAGTTGGAGACAGCATTCTTTTATTCCTCTCTGGATGGATAGGCCTTCTCCTCTGGACATGGCCTCTGATTTATGTATACTGGGCAAGAGAGTATATAATGAGCTGTCGATATAAAAAGAAGCAAAAAGATGAAAATGAGGAGGAAAATCATATAGAAGAATATTATAAAGATAAATCTAAAGAAAAAATTAGTGGTATTGAGAATGCTTTACCAAGACTAATGATAAAGAAGAGCTTTAATGAAAGTAACGACCTTGAGTAAACACTTTGTAGCCCTTTGATTCTCAACACTAGAGGTCTATATGAATAAATTATTGAATACATAACATCAGCTTTGATTCAATAGCCTAAAATATAAAAGGGGTTTTGGGGTTTTGGGGTTTTGGGGTTTTGGGG